TTAATTGAAGTTTGTTTACAGCAATTTTAAAATTTAATATCACAGAAGAGGAGATTACAAATTTGTTTCCATTCCACAGTAAACTTCTACGAAAAATTAAATCCTTTAAGATTTCAAACCATTCTTCTTTGTTGGCTTTTTTCTTATAGTTGGCAATTTTAAGTATTTTAAAGTCGGCTTCCATTAGCTCCTTACAAAGAGTTTTCTATTCTTTTCACCATTTTTAAGCTGTGTCTGAACTATTTTCTATTCTTGTAGCTCTAAAATGTTCATATATTTCGCCATAAGTTTCTTTACTTATTCATTTTCCTCCATTCTCCGTAAAATAATTCTTTATGATATTTGAATCGCTTTCTGTTAAAGTCTATATGTCCCAATACGAGAGTCCCTTTCATGAAGCTCCATTTCTTTGAAGTATCACTTTTTGCATAAGGATTAATGTTTAAATATTTTAACAAAGCTAAAAATAACACGATTCCTGCAACCATCCTTGTTCTAATTTCGGTTTTAATCTCCTTAGTTTTCGTAAAATTTTGCATACATTAATATAATTTCTAAAAAATAAATACTTTACAAATATATATATATATAAAGAGAGAGAGATAGATATGGAGTTTGATATATAATAATTAATTAAATTGCTCTATATGCTTAAAATCAAGAATTAAATATTTTTTCAAGTTTCTCGCCATTTACCGTCTTGACTAATATGACGTCACGTTATATGATCCTTCCGTGAAATATTAGTTCGTGCGTTTAATTTTATTTTTTTCAGGAGAATTTCCACAAACTTGAAAATATTAAGAGATTTAACAATTGTATCATAAAGCTGGGAGAAATATTTTTTTTAAATTTCACCTTGCTTTTAGGTTTTTAACTCGACAATTATAAGATCTAAATTACTTAGAAATGTTCCGGGGATGGGAAGGAGGTAGGAACTAATTGGAACATTTTGGTTCCTCCAACTTTTTCTACCATGTTCTAAAACTTTAACGATTGTCAAAAATCTGGTTTACTTTTATGAAATCATTTACTAGCGTAAAGTAATTTGTAAATTTGCTAATTTTTTGCACAGTGGCAGAATAGTATTTTTTATTAACAATGAGAATCAATAAACAATTAAAGTTTAATGTACCAAAGAATATAATTGAGCTTCAGATTTTTTATATGTATCAAATTTGCTCATGAGAGATATTTCTTCAAAGCTAGCTATGAATGCATGATTATTCTCTTCCATGTAGTTTCAAAGATAAATTCTAATTGTCTATTGAAACAAATTGCGAGAAAGTTAATTTTAAATACGAAGATGGAAAAGTAATATATTTTGACGTGTATATATATATATATATATATTAGAAATAGGTTTCGTGTGAAAGTCGCAGAGAGTCTTAATTCATTCTTGTGGCTGTTCGAACATTGGCTTTACCTACCGCTGTAACAAAACTAATAAGATGTTTTCATGGTTTTGTTCTTTGTGTAACGTAAATGTAAGCTATAAAAATATAAAAGCTAGTTCTCCTTCATTTTGAGATTAGAACTAGAATTACGAGGGTCAGAAACAAAGAGGATAGAGATATCATAACATACGTGAATCGAGAGGTCATTACGTGTAATGAAACTAAATAAATATATAGTAGTATTGACAATTCTTAATATTTATTTTTCAGAATCCTTCTCCAAATTGGTGACGATAAAATACTAAAGTATGGGTCATAAATTAATATTTAAAAGAAAAAAAAANCCCTTAGGGATACTATCTATTTATTAGAAAAGACAGTCGCTAAATAGAATATAATTGCTGTTTAGATTAATATGAACTTGGAATGTTTAACTGCAGTGAATCTCAACCACTGTACCGCGGCACTTTTGTGTGCCGCCAAATTCTTAAAATGTGCCGCCAAATATTAGAAATGCTACAATAAAAATTATAATGCTTTTTTTTATTATGAGTAAAGTTTAAATTAAAGAAAAGTGTATATATATATAGATATATATATACTGCACTTAAGAGATTCCAAACCATAAGTGTACGAAACTTTTAAAAGCAAAATAATCTGCTATAATGAATATAATGAAGGAAAATTATTGTGCCGAAAATATGATTTGATGCCATCTATTAAACTGAAGGAATTTAATCGAATGATCTTCCCTACTGGAAACATGCTAGGATGCTATTGATATTTAAGATGATAACATTTATTTATCTTATTAAGTATTATATTGATCTTAGTATCATTTATTAATTCCTAAAATGTTACATTAAAAAGTTTCCTAAGTACCCTAAATGTTAGGAATACGAGTGAATATAGAGACCGAGAGATAGGCTACGGAAACCTCAAGAATTAAACAAATCTGCATTTAAACACGTCTAGTTTCTGCTGCTTGAATAATTCAATGCTTTAATTACAATTGTTCAAATTTCTAGGAATTGTGATAAACAGTTATTAGTTGGATACTTCTTTAGTTAGACATTTTAAGACATGGATGCTTTCTTGAACAAGCCTTATATTTTTGCCGCTAATGTCCTGGCTTCTTTAGAAAATTTACGCATTAAAAACATTCATTAAAACGATTGCACAAATTTCTACGAATTATGATAAACAGTTGTTAGTTCGATAATACTTTAGTTAAACATTGTGAGACATAAATGGTTTCTTGCATAAGCATTATGCTTTTACCTCGAGCGCCATGGCTGCTGCAGAAAAATAGACGCATTTGCTCTTTGTTTCAACTGAGAATTCGAAATCTTATAATATTCATCACAAAATTGTACGAATTTCTAGGAATTGTGATAAACAGTTATCAGTTGGATACTTCTTTAGTTAGACATTTTAAGACATGAATGATTTCTTGAACAAGCATTATATTTTTTCATCTAGTGTCCTGGCTTCTTTAGAAAATTTGCGCATTTGCCATTTGTTTCAATAGATATTTCGAGTTCCGAAAACATTCATTAAAACTATTACACAAATTTCCAGGAATTATGATAAACAGTTGTTAGATAGATAATACTTTAGTTAAACATTGTAAGACAAATGATTTCTTGCACAAGCATTATGTTTTTACGTCGAGTGTCATGGCTTCTTCAGAAAAATTGACGCATTTGCTCTTTGTTTCAACTGAGCATGTGGAATCTTATAACATTCATTGAACAATTGTACGAACTTATGGGAATTATGATAAACAGTTATCAGTTGAATAATTCTTTAGTTAGACATTGTAACTCATAGATGGTTTCTTGCAAAAGCATGATGTTCTTACCTCAGGTGTTCTGCTTTCTTTAGAAGAATTGACGCATTTGCTCCCTGTTTCAACTGAGAACTTGAATTCCTCTTAAATATAGGAACTTACAAAATAATTGTATTTGAGTTTCCGTGATTTGCTTCTTAAGAACATTTTCTCAGGCCTTAGGAGGACATTCGGAACTCTGTTCAGTATTCATCTTCTTTGATTCATTATATGATAGCTGAAAAACCGATTGATAAAGCAAAAAATGGGTATTTCGTGTTTTTAAAAAGCATCCGATGACCGGTATACTTTGAAATAATGGTGATTTATTTTTACCTTTATTTTGTTTTTTAAACTATAAACTAAACAAAAGAAACTGAAGCAATCCCATTGTACTATTTTAAGTAGCATTAAAAAACTGAAGAAAAGGGCTCGATTTTTCATGTTTATATAAATTTTAAGCGTAATGCGTGACCACAGGATACTAACAGACTTTAAAATTTTCTTCTGTTTACATAAGGTATCTTTTCTTATTGAAAACTTCTTTACCTTCGGCGTACTAATACATTTATACCAGTTTGGCAAATGACTGCAATAAATAATCCTTAAATACGTTCTATCTTTATTAAAAATGCTTAAATATGCATTTCGCAATGCATGCACATTGTGAAGACTGGTGTATCATTACGCAAATAAAAAGAAACTTGATTAGAAAATCGTGAGATATATCCTAATATTCTAATCCCGATCTATCGTAATCTCAATTGATTAAAGAGGATTTATGGGCATCACGTATCTGGGATCCGCTTGTCTTTATAGTTAACGAATTTGAAAATCGTACGTGCGTGCTGATAGACTAGACTTTTGGGAATGCATTGCTCAAACTGCACACTAACGAATGTTTTGTTTGATCAAGAAAACTCGATCGAATTTAAACATTTGTATGGGCTTCTTTCTCGTCAAGTTTAATAGGAGACTTGTTTTAGAAATAAAACGGATTTAACATCAAAGGAAGGATTATTCTACATTATATAATCTTAATGGTTTTGAGCAAAACATAATCTTCACTCGTATTGGAATTAAAAAAAACTATTACGTTAGTTCTTAAATTGAAACTAAAAAAAGGCAGTTGTACCATCGGGTTATAATAATAGTTTAAAAATGCATTATTTTTAAAGGTTTTTATTATGTTTTAGTTAAAACTAAAAAATAAAACAGCTGTACGTTGTTATAAATTTATTTAAAAAAAATAATGGTTATTAATAAGAAATAATAATAATAATAGAAAAATTTCTAAATTTGAAGGTTTTTGAAGTTTAATATGGAATTTAATTTCTATTTTATAAAATTATAGCTAAGCAAAGACTAATATGTAATGCTCTTATAATATCTAGAAAAAATATTTGAGTTGTAGGTTTTTATTTGGAATTTAATTATTTTGTTGTAAAAATATCAATTGCTAAAACTGAGATAGAGGAAAATCTTATGTAATCTTAGGTTAGTAATATTTTAGGAATAAACCTGCTTAATTTGCAGGATTTTACCTGGAATTTGACTTATTCATTGTAAAAATGTATATAACGCAAACTGAAAAAAATCCACTGTAAAAATTTGATATCATATTAATTTCTTTGATTTGAATGATTTTTTCCAGAATTTTTTTTTTGCATAAATACTTAAAATCTTTTTATGTAAAATGGCTTTGAAAGTTATGCAAATGTAAATCTTCTTAATTTATTTTAGTTTAATCTTATGTATTTAATTTCTTTTAGTTTTGAAGACGCTACAACAATCCTATATCATCATGATGTCATCCTAAATATCTATTTACCTTCTCACTTGTACATTCATCTGGTCAACAAAGGTAAAAAAAAGTATTAATTTTTATAATAAGTTTTTCAAAAAGATACATTTTGAATAGTGTCCTTAAATTATTAATAGTTTGAAGTTGAATTTAAAGTTTACGGTTTCTATTTCATATATATATATATACAAATACAAAAAAAGCAAACTTAAATTTAGCAATCAAAACAGCATCAATCAATGCATTTAATTGTTAGAGACCGAATTTTAAAAACCTGAATAACCTCTAAAAATGCCCTTAAGATACTAAAACTTCGCGTATACTGTAACAAATATTTAAATCCAAAACATGATTTTTTTTTGTTCTAAATTAACATATAACACATAATTTTACATTAAAATATGCATATTAAAAGAAATTGATATGAGATTTTCATTAAAGCTTCAATTAAATGTTTAATGCAAAAGCAACAAATATTAAAATTAAAGTGGATTATTAAATACTTTTTGATGTTATCAAATGTGAAAAATAATTATCCGGAATTAATCTTTAATATCTGAAATTCTGATAGAAACAGCTATAATCGTTATTAACGCATGCTTGAAAAAATTTATATAACTCAGTAAAAATGTCTGATAGTTATAGAAACGTACTGGTATTTCAAAATATGTCCAGAATCTAAAATAAATAAATAAATAGATTAATAAAAAATAAAAATACCCAAAAATCTCAAATAAAAGTCAAAAATGAATAAATATGATTCAAATCTCAAAAAATACCTCAAAAATGAAATTGTCACCAAATTTCACGCCTTATAAATAATACTTCTCTTTCTAAAAGAAAAATTCTGGTTTCTGTCAATCACAGGTATAATCCAAACTGAAACTCAACTAACATTTGCAAATAAATACTAATAAATTATAATTATTCATTAATTAGTTAAACATAATAAATCAATGCAAATTTATGATACATATATTTTAAACCTAAACTATTCCGTTGTTCCTAATTGAATGCATTGTTTCCTCGACTTTTAGAACATACGCATTGAATTTGGTTTGTTTTTCAGATTTACCATATTTCCTATTAAAGTAGTTCAGATATTCAACTAGGTGAATTATTGTTTTTCGATCAGAAAAATAATTTGATAATCAAGTAATGAAATAGTAAGTTACCATTTTATCGTCAAATAGAGAGTGAGTTAATTTTTATTTTAGTGAGATATTTAATAAAGGAAAATCAATTTACTTAATCTAAGAACTAAAATTTATAATATTTGTACATGCAAAAATTTACTTTTTATAAATTTATTATACTTCACTTTATAAATTTTAAAAATAAAATATTTTTTTAAGTATTTCTATAATTACCTTTTAATGATATATCAATCAGATTAAGCAGATAAATGAATTCTAGTAAAGCTAACGTACTCTATGGTAATGACATTTTTGGTGAAAAAATATGAAAAAAAAATTATTTTTAATGCAGCTAAAATCTACTGTATTTGATCTTTCATCTAATAATTTTTCTGTGCATATGATGACGGTTAACCGAAAATATGATTTTCAAAATGATAGTTCTCATAGCCAAGCATTTAATAAAAAATAAAAAGTAAATTTAACTGAATGAATTGTTTTTAGGTTTTTCTTATGGTTGCTGTTAGGTTTTGTTGGTTTGCTGTTACGTTGTTGAGTTGGGTTTTGCGTTTATTATTTTTTTTTCATTTCCAATCATATTTCAACAACATGAAGTAATGAAGATAATTTCTTGAAAATTGATGCAAGCTGCTTTTTTATAAATCTTTTAATTTAATACAAAACAGATTTCACAGTAAAATCTAATTACTATTTCAGTCTCATACTTCAATAAACCTATATTATAACCGTGCAAGAGAAAATTTTAAGAACGCTACACATCCAATTTTTTTCTCTCCGAGTTTTCTCCTTAGATTTAAAAAAAAGGGAAGAAAAAAAATTTACTTTTACAAAACACATTATGAGACTTCAATTTTGCATGATTGTTACCTTAATTTCTTTTTATTCCAACATCTTTTTACGATGTAAAACATAGATATTTATTATTCATGTTCAACTTCATATTAATTTTAGTAGCTCTCTAAACTAAACGTAAAGAAGGAAAATATTTTATATCTTTAGTATAACGTCATCGCCTTGCGTCTCATTTTCCCAGAAGCCTTTTTTATTTAAGATGGGTTATTTTCTGTTTTTTTATTATCAACGATCATCTCCCCTGTCTGTCATATTCATAACTTTTATCTTGTCACACATCACTGAGTTTTCCCTTTAGATTTCTGGAAAAAAATGACAGTTTAAAAATTTTCTGTGTTGATGGAAACAGATTTTTTTTTTTGCGTGAAAAATATTTATCAATTGCTTTGCATTTTTATGGAGCTAAAGTATACAAATTGTAAAGAACGATTTTGAAGCTCTTGTCTGCTTAATTTAGCACTGAGTCTATGAATATGAAAATATTTATCAATTGTTTTACATTTTTATGGAGCTAAAATATACAAATTGTAAAGAACGATTTTGAAGCTCTTGTCTGCTTAATTTAGCACTGAGTCTATGAATATGAAAATATATATCAATTGCTTTACATTCTTATGGAGTTAAAATATACAAATTGTAGAGAACGATTTTGAAGCTCTTGTGTGCTTAATTTAGCACTGAGTATATGAATATGAAAATATTTATCAATTGCTTTACATTTTTATAGAGCTAAAATATACAAATTGTAAAGAACGATTTTGAAGCTCTTGTCTGCTGAATTTAGCACTGAATCTATGAATATGAAAATATTTATCAATTGCTTTACATTTTTATGGAGCTAAAATATACAAATTGTAAAGAACAACTTTGAAGATTTTGTCTGCATAATTTAGCACTGAGTCTATGAATATAAAGCAAAACCAAATACGAAATAAATGCATTGTTTTTAAACGAGTATTTTATCACTCTAAATTCTATAATTATTTTTTTAAATTAATTATTTAATGTAGGAATAAATTAAGCTGGTGTTTAATGGGAAACATAATAAAGGTAGGTGTTGAATCTGAAACTAGTTTTATTATGAAGTCTGGCTCATAACTCCAAAACAAATAAAAGTCTAATTTGAATACCTAATGCATTCAAAATTGAAACAGCATATACTCATTTTTGAGCAAAATGCGTAGCATCAAAAGCTATGTGAAAGAAGAAATGTGTAAGAGAATCAAGGACCTTCGTGTTCGTAGTAGGATGCTCTAACCATCTTTGTTGTACTCACCAATCAAAAGAGAGCTAGGAAGCTTTATATAGTCTACTTGAAGAGCAATGACGCATCATCACATACTAATTTCCAATTTCAATGTTCCAAAAAATTTGAAAGTGTGTCCCAACAGCAGCATCTGTAGTTTTAATTTCACTTCTACCTTACTTCGCTTTAAAAATCTATAAGTTAAATGAATACATAAAGCTTCTTATCTCTCCCTGGACTGGGTTCCATATCTATAGAGGTTATATCACCCTACTACGACCCTGATTCAAATCCTGCAGACTGCTGTTGAACATCTCGCATGCATATTTCTACCTTCACGTCACTTATGAACCAATGCATTATGCTGTTTCAGTCTTTAATTCATAGGGTTTTAAAGTTTGACTACTATTTGTTTCGGAGCTATTCGAAGCTATTATGATTTCGGAGCTATTACATTTTTGCTCAGTTTTGAAAAACCTTTTTTATAGTGTACACTGTTGGAATTTTCATTCGAAAATTATGGTAAAATAATCAGCAGCAGTCTGTTCATCCAATTAACCATAAAGTTTGCAGTAAAGAATATGTTTCACCTTTACGGTTTTGAAACCGTTTGCAACTAGTATAGTCATGAAATCATGACTACAGAACTATAAGTTTTTTGACCATTTACAGCTACCATGGTTTCAAAACCGCGAAAAAAGAAATTTAACTGGGCATAAGAGCAATGCTTCTCTTTAGATAGTCGGCATTGTAGAGTGCAGGACGCTGGAAATGAGTGTTAAGGGGAATGGAGCTGTCAATGTTGGGATTCGAACCCCCGTTTTATAGGTCAAGAGATTGACAGATTAGCTCTCTCGGCTATAATATGTACGCAGTTGCGGGAGACTAAGTTGCTTCATTAGGTGGGCTTAGTTGGTGCATTAAATTCTTGTTATTTAACATCTTTATGTACAAATAGTTAATAAACGATTTTTCTCACTGTTAATAGTTTCATTACCATCTTATTTATGGTTATTTGACTGTTTTGTTTAAATATGGTGATATAACAATTAAATAGATGGTTATTTAGCCATTTTTTCCAGAAATTTCTAACAATGTATATGACGGACTTTGATCACTAATTGTAAAATTTTACTAAAACTTATTTTACGTAATGTTTTATAACCTAAGCGTAGTTCACTTGCTTAGTTTGTGTAGCATTGCATGCATGATAAGAAAACGAAACAGAATACCACATAAATCGCTTTTAAATACTTAAATACCATAACTTTTCCTAATGTCTTTAGACTATAAATAACACACTCATGGTTACTATTTCAAAACTCTTTGCATGAAAGATTAGTCTTCTGCTTCATGCACGTGTAATTATAAAAATCCTAAGTGTTTTTTTCGCTACATAGTACATGTCTCCTATGTATGGAAGCAAATAGCCTTTCTAACACAAAAAAAGGTTCATGGCTAATATTTGTTTGTTTATAAGTAGGAAAGGAGATTTAAATGCTTAAAAATATCTCGAAATTTTATAAACTTACTTTTAAAACTTCAGTTTTTATGTACTTAGAAGAGAATGAGATAAAAATTGCATTAGTTATATATTATGTAAGTTGTGGTAATTATTATTTTTAGGCTCTCTCAGTTATGTTTCCGTATACACTTCACGTTCAACTAATATTTTTCCTTCAGTACTTTTACCATTCGATTTGATCTGAAAAGTCAAGCTTTGTGCCCTTTTCTGTATTTGGTGGAGCCTGAGGGGAAAATGTCGATACCCAATATCTAAAGGATCAAAGCTTGGGATGAACTGT